AGAGGACTTTCAGAAGGTATCTGAATTGAAGGCAAACGCTTCCAAATCTAGAATTTTCAAGCTGTGAGAAGCAGGAGAAGATTCAGAAGCATCTTTGGGTTTGATGAAGGCCAATTTCCAATTAAGTACATTGGGCTGCCCTTAAGTGCTCCGGGACTTAAGAGGGTGAACTGCACAGCTCTGGTGGATAAGGTGCATGCCAAAATTATGTCTCTCCATCTGCTCTCTCTCTTTCAATAAACCTTTCACATGGTATCAGAGCATCAGTCCTACCATTGTCGTTGCTATCGAACTGCAAGGGTGTGATTGCAGAGGCTACAGAGTTTCCATCCGTGAAGATTCATCGGTTCTTTCGCTGGATTTTTCCGTTGACGACTACCAATCTGTTCTCTATTGTAGAAGACTCAGTTTCTTTTTTTTTCCTCTTTTTCTGTGTGTTGATTGCTAGGTGGTGGTGTTCTTGCTGTCAGCCATCTCACAACCGCAACTACCAATCTGTTTGGCTACAGGAGTAAGGTAGCCCAAACCAGTTCTACTGGAACCCGGTTTCTTCGGTGACCCGGTTCAGGTTCAAACCAATTCTCCAACCCGATTTGAGATCCAATCCGATTTGTGATCCGGCCCGACACGGTTCTGCTCTAAATTTTCTTACCTTCTCTGGTGAAGCAAAAACTGATCTTCTCCTTCTTCCATTGTTTGTTTTTTTGAAAAAAAAAAAAAAAAAACTTGGGAGTCAATGTCTGTGCAGCTTCCTTCATCTCGGGAGTTTTTTTTTTGGTTCAGCATTCCTCCATGTCAGAAACAATTTCCCCACTGTCTGCACCTACAGAAATTAAGAACCCCATTCCACCTACTGATCAAGTAGGATTACAAATTACGACTATTAAGTTGAACAATTCCAATTACTTACTGTGGGCACAAGCTGTGCAAATTTCCTTGGGTGCTCGACGCAAATTAAAAATTATTCTCAATGATCTTCCACCTAAAACTGACAAAGGGTATGCTAATTTGGAAACTGAGAACTATACAGTTATGTCATGGCTCTGGAATAGCATGAAACACTCTATTGCAACAGATTTCATGTTCGTCAACACTGCAAAAGAAATCTGGGATGCAGTTAACGAAACATATTCTATGGATACGAATGTATCCCGCATTTATTCTTTATACGAGAAGATGTTTCATTCCCGCCAATCTGGTCAACGCATTGGGGACTATTACAGTACCTTCAAAGGGCTGTTAGATGAGTTAAATCAATACCATCCCCTGACTACTATCCTTGAAATTCTCAAGCGATAGCGTGAGGAATTTTGTGCTTCTATTTTCCTTACTGGTTTAGATCCTAACGGACCTAACCTAACCTTCAGGAGTATACGGGACCAGATTCTTGCCAGTGATGGAGATCTCCTGTCTTTGGGGAACATTTATGCTCGATTACTTCGTGTTTCTAAATCACCATCTGCCAAATTCGCTGGGAAAGACAATTCAGCCATGGTGATCCCTTCTGTTACTACTCCTCCTCGAGGACGTGGTAATTTCAGTAGCAATCACGAAAATGGTGGTCATGATAGAGGTCGCGATCGCCGTGGTCATGGACCCTCTGCTGCTCGCTATTGTACCCATTGTCATGGTACCAATCATACCATTGACACCTGTTGGGATCTTCATAGAAAACCCACATGGGCACATCAAGCAGTTACCTCCTCTGACATTGCCGCTTCTCAGTCCTCTATTGGCCAAGACCACTTAGCTTACCCTGCTCCTGTATCGAGACCAACTTCATCTACTAGTGATAGTGTAACACTATCCCGAGCCGAGTTCAGTGCCTTGGTCAATCAGGCACAACACAAGTCTCCAGCTGTTGTTGCTACTTTTGCTCCATCAGGTAATATTGCATGTTTTTCAAAAATAAAGTCTCCATCCTCTCCTAGGGTACTCAATTCTAGGGCATCCACCCATCTCACGGGTAATGAATCTTTATTTTCTCACTTGCACAAATCCAATTCCACATCCTTTGTTACTTTGGCTGATGGTAGAACTCATCCTATTATTGGTCAAGGGACAATTAAGCCAACTGCTTCCATTTCATTATCTTCTGTGCAATTGGTTCCTCAATTTCCTTTTAATTTATTATCTGTTAGTAAAATAACTCAAGCTCTTAACTATTCTGTGACCTTGTATCCCTCCTTTTGTGTCTTTCAGGACCTCAAGACGAAGGAAACAATTGGCGGTGGCATTGAACAAAATGGCCTGTATTACTTGGATTATGAGTCATCCACTCGTGGTGTGGCTCTCCATTCCAGAGTTTCTGCTCACCAATGGCATTATCGATTGGGTCATCCCTCCTTGAAATACTTGAAGTCTACACTACTATTTCTCGAGTCGATGTCCACTTTAGAATGCGAGTCATGTCAATTAGGCAAGCATCACAGAGTTTCCTTTTCCCCCCGTATCAATAATCGTAGGTCTTCTCTTTTTGAATTGGTCCATACCAATATATGGGGTCCTGTTCGTCACCCCAGTCTCTCTGGTTGTTCCTATTTTGTTACTTTTGTTGATGATTTTTCAAGAATGACATGGTTGTTTTTAATGAGAGATCGTTTTGAGCTTCTTTATGTATTTCAATCTTTTTATAAAGAAATTGAGGTCCAATTTGGATGTGCTTTAAAAACTTTACAATCTGATAATGCTATGGAATATGTCAAAGGTGCTATTTCTGAATTTTGTGATTCTCATGGTATTTTGCACCAAACTTCTTGTTCTTATACTCCTCAACAAAATAGCATAGAAAAACGAAAAAATGGGCATTTAATTGAAATAGCTCGAACCTTATTGATCCATATGCATCTTCCCAACGAATTTTGGGGAGATGTTTTAAATGCTTGCTATTTAATTAATTATATGCCATCTTCTATTCTTAATTGGCAGTCTCCTCATTTTATTGTTTTTCCCGATCGTCCATTGTTTGCACTTTCCCCTCATGTTTTTGGTTGTGTGCGCTTTGCTCATGTGCTACGTCCACATACTGATAAACTATCTCCTCGTGCAATTAAATGTGTATTTATTGGCTACTCTTGCACTCAAAAGGGATATAAATGTTGGGATCCTAGCATTCGTTGCTCTTTGTATGGATGGATGTGACCTTTTTTTAGGACACTCCGTACTTCTCTTCACGTGGTTTGTCATTACCTCTTGATTTTTTGTTTCTACTACCTGTTGTGTCTACCTCCACCAAGTTTGTCACACCACCAACACTTTAAGTGTATAGTCAACATCCACGAGAAGCCTCCCACCAATTGTCTACTTCTCTTGAGGCTCCTCCTCCTACTAATGATTTCCCTATTGCCTTACGCAAAAGTACTCGATCTTGTATTACTGCACATCTTATGTCTAACTTTGTGTCATATAATCATGTTTCACCCTCTTTATCTTGTTTATATGGAGCACCCACCTGGGTTTGTTGCTCAGGGGGAGTATCGTCACACTATTTGTCACCTTAAGGACTTGTATGAATTGAAACAATCTCCACGGGCTTGGTTTGGAAAATTTTATAAGGCAGCATTGGAATTTGGTCTTAGCAGATGCCAGACGGATCATTCGATATTTCACCAGCGCACTATAGCAGGCTTCATTTTTCTTGCAGTGTATGTTGATGATATTGTGATCACAAGTGATGACTCTGACGGAGTTGTTGAGTTGAAGTTGTTTTTGCAAAATCGGTTCCACACTAAAGACTTGGGTAAACTTAGTATTTCTTGGGTATTGAAGTTGCTAAATTCAAGAAAAGTATAAGTTTATCTCAATGAAAATATGTGTTAGACTTTTAGAAGAAATGGGTATGTTAGGTGGTCGTCCGGTTGACTCTCCTATGGATCCAAACACAACTTTTGTCAGATGCAGGTGATTTATTTGATGATCCTAGCAGATATCGATGTCTTGTTGGGAAATAAATTTATCTCACTATCACTGATTGATATCTCATATGCAGTTAGTGTCGTAAGTATGTTCATGGGAGCTCCTAGGATGCCACATTGGAATGCGGTTCTTCGGATTATTCGATACCTCAAGCAAGCTGCAGTTTTAGGTTATTATATAAACTGAATGCTGACTGGGTTGGTTCTCCCTTGGGTAAGAGATCTACTACAGGCTATTACACACTTGTAGGTGGAAATCTTGTTACATGGAGAAGTAAAAAGCAAACAATGGTACACGGTGTAGCGCTAAAGCAGAGTGCAGGGCGATGGCCCATACCTCTAGTGAGTTAACATGGATACAACATTTTCTTAAGGAACTTAGGTTAATAGCCAAGACTCCTATCCATTGTTCTGTGATAACCAAGCAACTGTTCACATTGCATCCAATCCTGTATTTCATGAAAGAACCAAGCATATTGAAGTTGATTGTCACTTCATTCAAGAGAAAATATTGAGTGGGAACATTTCTAGTCCATTTCTGAAGTCTGAAGATCAATTAGCTGATATGGTTACTAAGGCTCTTGGTCATAATCGGTTAAAGGCGATTTGTTCCAAGTTGGGATTATATGATATATATTCTCCAACTTGAGGGAGAGTGTTAGAACATTTATATGTGTGGCCATTATGCAATTAGGCCTTTCTTATGTTTGTATATAAGCACTTTTATGTTTAGGGTTGATATATATGAAAACTGAGGCTACGCCTCCTCCATCTGCTCTCTCTCTTTCAAAAAATCTTTCACACAAGCAAGTGTGAAGTGTCTTGTCAAATTTTAGGCTCAAATTTTATGCAGTTAAACTAATGAAATCTACAACAACAACTACTAACAAATTAACTAATGAAATCTACAACAGCAACTACTAACAAATTTTGCAAGTTGTGAAAATATGATTACCAAATTGTAAAACGAATCATACCATCTTTCCTATTAGCAAAATTCTTCAACCTAAAGGATTGCATTGCATTTAATCTTAATATACTGCTTAGAATGCAAATTCATAATATGTTATGGATATTATAACTGACCTGCAAGGCAAAAAATTTAGTGTTCAAGTTCTGTGCGTTTGATAGAATGTGAACCACTTGAAGCCACATATCCGGATTATTCTGCAACTCCCTCAAGATATTATCTGCCGCAGTCCTCTGTAGCATGGATATTAAAGGGGAAAAGAGGAAGCAATAAAAAGTTAGTTCTGTAGTTGATGGTTACAACTTCAATTATATCAACTTTTAGGGCAAGGGAAAGGAGATAGGCACAACTAAATTGAACTTTTTTTTTTGTAACTAAAATTTCATTAAAGAGCTCAAAAGGGGAGCACATTCCAAAAACAACTCTAAACTGATGGTTTAAATCCGGTATTTTCATCCTTTTTATTGCACGCACAAGATTTCCCATTTACTTTACGCAATGATCGCAATTTTAGTTTACAAATCACTGAAAAACACAACACCGGTTCAAGTGTTTATCTCATATTCTTTGAAGTTCTTGTTTCCAAAACACACACACACAAAACACCAGCCTGCAATCACTAGTAAGCCAAATGGCTTGCCTCACCATTATATATTTCTGCATAAGGTTTCAGCTTTTCTTTTCCTGCCCATTATCTCACAACCAAACAAAAATATTTATCGACTCAAATTCAAGCAACAAATTCAACAACTACCATTTTGTCCCATGTATTCTTATTTTAACAACAAAGATGCTGCTTTATTTTATTTTTTTTGGCCTAACATGCTGGAAATCTAGCTCAGAATAACCATTCATGGCACTATATAAACAAGACAGTGTCATGTGTAGACAATGCAAAAATAATTGTGAATTACAAACCCCTATGGAATTAAGCTTGAAATAACTATGACTATCATAAAAATCCCAGTACGACTATTCACTTGTTTGGGTTAAATTCTCTCGTATTATTTTTTCCTGGTTCAAGTTAGGAGCAGTTTCATAATATCAATTTTCACTTTTCAAACACTGTTCCTTTGATTTCTCATTGATCAAACAGATGCCAAATGGAAACACAATAGTAATTTGAAGTAGCACATTTTATACATTATAGTGCAGGCATTGACTACTGATAATTCAGTCCTATAAACCAGAGGAGGGATTGTTCCAAGTATGAACATTTCACTTTTCAAACTATTTCTTCAGTATAACAGGGCAAAGAACAATAGAAGTTTTCCTTCGTTATGATCAAGACACTGAAACCTGCCTGGTTCCCAAGAAAATACGCCCCTAATATTAAAACCAACCCTAATGGTCCCATTACGTTCAGTACAGTGACCGCACATGTTTGGAACTCGGATTATTCAAAATTATAAATTTCTGCCTGCATTTCACATTAATTAGACAGAGGAAATATGTATAAAACATATGTATTTTGTTTGCAAGTACAAATATATATATATATACACACACACACACACATATATAGTCTGAATATATATATATATATATATATATATATATATATATATATACATTTCACATCAATTAGACAGAGGAAATATGTATAAAACATATGTATTTTGTTTGCAAGTACAAATATATATATATATACACACACACACACACATATATAGTCTGAATATATATATATATATATATATATATATATATATATATATATAATATAGAGAGAGAGGGAAGGAAAGAATGAGATAGAGGATAGTCTGACCTCCTCTTTAGATCCGGTGCCATAGAAAGCAGCGACTGTGGCGTCGAGCAAGCTAACGTCGATCGGCTGACTCAAGTCCCTGAGTTTCTCCGCCGCCATGAGGGATCAAAAGCTCTGGTAAACCCTAAAAAATCAAAGCGCAGTTCTAAAAACTGAAAAACGGACTTCAAAACCTAGTTCGTAGTGTTCAATATAGAGAGAGAAAAGATAGCTTCAAAATGAAGCAGAAGGTAGAGAGAGACAGACAGACGCTTTGAATTTCCTTTTATTTTTGGGGGTAAATAAACACACTTTGAAATTGTTTCTTTTCGGCGGCCATTCCCTCCTAAATAGTTTGGTGTGTAGTACAATATACCGAGGAAGAGTGTATACATTGGGCAATTACACTAACCCACTTCTAAATAGGAAAAATGATATAAACCTCCCTTATATTTTAAACAATTACACTCAACTCAACCTAGTTTGCACTTCTGTAACAACTCAACCCCGCAACCCCGCCTACAGTCTTAGTAAAACATGATGTCATCAAACTAAAATTTTAAATAAACAACTTTGCCCTTATAAAAGTTGTGAAGACATATTTGCCCTCTATTAACTTCTAATTTTCTTTTATTAACAATGAATTATTTCTTTTTCTAAAACACACTTCCCTCTCTATAAAAAGCACACACTCTCTCTCTCTCTTCCCTCCACCACTACCAACAATACCCGTGTAACAACCCAAACCTAGGGTTCGAAATACTAACCGTGTCCTTACCCGAACCCAAGAACACAAAAGGTTAAAATGATCATTTCAAAGTAAGAGATAGAAGTGGGTTGACTTTAAATGAGTCAAAGGAAGTCTATCCAAGTCATCATGTCCTTATTGACTCATTTTGTAAGGTTTTAGGTGCCAGAACAATGCTTTCACACAAATAGCCCTTCATGGTTTGGAAGGCTCTCGGAGTAGTCCACACTAAAATATAACTTCCTTTACAATTGGATTTTCGAGCCGATCAATTTAGACTCAAGAACGACCCAATTTGGGTTTAAAATGGGGGAGTTATAGTTGTTCGAAGTTTAGATTAACAGCCAGTGGATAAGTGAGAGTGCTCAATCAATCGAACCTAACTGTGCTGCATCCTTCTTCATTCCACTCCACCAATATTAACGTATTAAATTATAATACATCTTGGTACCACCTGGATGAACTACAAAGTGAGAAGTATGGAACTCCCGTCGAACATCCTCATGACAACTAGTGGGAACAACCATCAAACCTCTGAACCGTAGATCTCCATCTACATGCAAGGTCTAATCTTTCACTATCTCACCTTTTAAAATCTACATGTGAATGGCATCCAACTCTAGATCATGTCTCTGTGACTCAAATCACTCGACTAATAAGAGTAGGCTGAGCCACAAGACTAAATAAAAATGTCGAATCACTACTACCATAGTTGTAATGACCCGGTTATTTCCTTCCTTTCCTTTTTCCTTAGAATTTTATGGATGAATTTTTTTTCGTTGAAATCTCTTTTCTAATCTCTTTTCTAAGTTCGGTTTCTCATCGTTTAGTGTCGTCTTGAGTGCTCGAAAATGGTTTGTGAGACTCTTTTCTTTGGATTGACAACTTCCTTTGAGAACCGAGTCATTTTCACATTTTTTGTTTTTCGACACTATTCACTTTTCGTCATTTTCCCTATTTTGTCTTTTCCCTATTTGTCACTTTGTTGGCATAACCTCACTCCTTGTGTTTGGAGTTGGTTTTTGACTTCACGTATCTTCATTCTAAGTGATTTCCACGAAATACGTATCTTTACTTTTGTAAGAAAGTACTCTGATTGCTCCCGGTGTCCATAGAGGCGTGGAAACATTTTTGTTTCTTAGGGTGTTTTTCGTAAATATCTTTTAGAGATATTTTATTTCAAGGTTTTTTAATAAAATATCTTTTGTAAGATATTTTCATTTGGGGTCACTTGTGCAGTTATCTATTTGTGTAGGGGCCTTTATGCAATTAATGAAAGTTAGTTGCTAAGTGTCTCCTTGGGGCTTGAATCCTCGTACGGGATTCATTTTCACATTTCGCCGAGTCGTGTACTCTTAGAATTGTCTTGCGGTCGAACCCTGCAGTTTTCGGGTTTTCAGCCCCGGTTAGTGCCAAACTTGTTTAGGGCATATCTCTCTGCACGGGACTTAATTTTTAATGATGTTTCTTCTGTTGTTCATTTTTTATCATTTCGGTTCTTTTTGTTCACGGAGTTTTGCCGTTTAAGCGCGTCTGCTCAAATTCTACTTTTTCAAACCCGGCGAAGCCCGTTCGGGGCACCTTTTGAGTTTTTCTATAAATAGGGGGTCTTGAAATGAAAAACCAGATTTTTCTCTCTCTCCCCTCTCTTGGCCGGCCCTAGCTCCTCCCATGGCTGCCACCTTCTCTCTCCTCTTTTGAACCTCCTCCCTTGAATGAAAAGTGGTGAAGCCTTAGTGTTTATTGTCCCCCTTGGCGAGGCCTTCAATTTCCAACCGATTGGAATTTCGTTTTGGCCATTTTTGAGTTTGGGTTTGAAGTCAAGTTGTGATTTTGATGGGGCTTCCTTGGGATTCTTGTTCACCATGTTGTCCTTGATAAAACCCTGGAGTTTCGTCGGATTCGGAGAGGTTTCATTTTGGTGGGGATTTGAGATTTTATCTCAAATTGAGGTAGGGGATGTATTAGGATTATATATGTGTTGTATTGATTGTTTTATGAACTTATATAACTTGTATGCATGCTTTGTATAAATCTTAGAATTTAATTTAATTATTTTCTTGTATAGGATTTAATTCTAATGGATGTATGTGGCTTAGAATTGAATTGTGACATGCTAGGAAATTAAGTCTTGATATATTGAGTAACATATATTAAATATGGAGTATTTGAATAAGAATTGCAAAACTTATTTAATATTTATCTTTAGTGAAAGATTAATTCACATAGTTGAAACAAGCATAAAATCAACTTATATTGTGATATTAAAGTAGGCCTTGGTGAGTTCCTTAACATATGTTAAATTAAGGAAATTAGAGTTGACTGAAAACCTAGATAAAAATTAATTAATGATCTTAATTAATTTTATTTTAAGTGTGTTGGTCACTTAAATTGATATTAGAGGTAATAGTTTGATAATCCTTTGAAATGTAGTTCGTTTAATAACCTTGTGAGCATGTTACTAAATTGATGTAAAATTAGTACTTGAGGCATCTTGAAATGGTAATTGAACTTAGCATGATATAGAATATCATTGACTTGCTTAGCTTGTTTAGATATATATTGTGTAGGTATATAGCTTGTTAGAATATTACAGTTGTTTACCTTGGAAGCTAGTTACTAAATTGGGACTTATTTAGTATTTGTGGCTTAGTATGGTAATGTGGTTCAATTGTTGTAAAATATTCTTATTTTGGTGTATAAATTGCATTTGGAGACTTGACATGTCATATGTTATCTAGAATTGAATTCTAGGACATGGTTTGTGTGGATTCAACCTTGCTTGTGCATGAAATGTGGTAACTTGCATTTGATTTTGTATAAGTTTTGAACTTATTGATTTTGGAAAGCTTGTGAGGACATAATTTATGTGATGACTAGGGTTTGGCTCTAGTACGTGGACAAGTGTCCTCGAAGTCATAAATGCGCACTAGGTGGTACCTTGTGGTTCGTAATTACCCAAAATACCTGCTTGGTCTAGTGACCACATGTCCTAGTTCTTCTACTATTTGATTTCGCATTTAATTTTAAGTTGTTAATCATTGATTACTTGTAACTTGAGAATTGATGCTTACTTTGGGTATTTGAATCCTATTTAGTATACTTGAACCTGTATACTTACTCCATGTTTCATTTTAGTATACTTGTGCCATGTATACTTGTCTTGTGCGTATTTGTTTAGCTTAATATACTTGTACCATGTATACTTGTCTTGTACGTATTTGTTTAGCTTAGTATACTCGTGTTTGTATTCTTGATTTATGAGTACTCTATATGTATATCGAATACTTGTGTATATATGTTGGATATTGCTTATCTTGTTTAACATGATTTAAAGTACTTGAACATGTATGCTTGTACGACGTGTACCATGTTTTAATACGGTTTAGTGTACTTGAGCATGTATACTTGTATGTCATTGTTCATTTCAATTGCATGAGCAGCTTAGGATGATCCCTGAGTCTCACTTTGACATAGACGTTAGGTGGCATGAGCCCCTTTAACATGTTTCACCTTAAGGTGATATAATTGTAAAATGCTAGGTCGATGCAAGCTCATCTCCTACTAGTAGCTTTACGTTACTCACACACGTAGTGAGGACATTTTTCAGGTACAGGGATCTTGATTTGGGATGCACACTAGGCCATGGATGATTTGTAGACTTAAAGTTCTCATTTCTTGAAAAAGGTTGGCTTGAAATGCTACTTGTAGCCTTATTTGTCAAATGTGTATATTTGATTCCAAACTTGTAATGTGTGCCTAAGCACACTTTTTGACGCTTATTTCGTGCATATGATATGAGGCCAAGGGCCAAACCATATTTGAGATTCATGTGTATTCACAAATGTAGAATTTTGCCTTTAATGAGAATTTTTTGAAAATCATGTACTTTAGTATGCTATTTTGCACCGGAGTGTGCATTGGGTATGAAATTCATTATTTGCCATTCATTTATCATACATGAGGTGTGGCCAAGGGCCAAACACCATTTTGTTTTAGGTTTCACATTTTAGTTTCATATTTTGCGTTTTAGGCTAAAATAGTAAAATCCGAGCCTTTAAGGGCTCATTTTCAAATCGGGTAGTGCAAAGTGTGTTCCGGCACATCCACTAGGACCTATTTGATATGCATGAAGTGTGGCCAAAGGCCAAACGGCCTTTTGAAAGCATTTAAGTCCTGTTGTTGCATGGTTTGTCCTTAAAAGGCATTTTTCTCGCATTTGAAGTTTGAGAGGTCAAACTTTGCATCGGCAGTATTTTTAAGCCGTGGATCATTGTAGCACGTTCTAATAGGTAAGTTACGTCTGTGTACATGATTGTTTCCAGGTAAAACCCTCTCCTTGGTGAAATGAGCCTCTTTTGGATTCATTTCACATTTTCCTCGCATATTCTAGTTTAAGGGCATTTTTATGGTTTTCCTTTAGGGAATAAATTCCGGTCTTAACTCCATCACATAGAAAATGTGATTTTAGGGGTAGTTTCTTCACGGCATTTTTCTAGAAAATGTCGTCTTGGCCTCGAAAATCCCAATTCCATTTCAGTTTTCCGTTTCTGC